GGTATAGGTCTACGTTCATAATGACTTCTCGTAGGTTAGTAGGACAAGTAAATACAATTGTCTAATAATAAATCTATCTGTAACATATCATATAAACTTATTAAAAATCATGTCAAAAGATTTATGTCTGAAGGATTTAAATTGCGGCCGTATTCATATTTTCGATCGTATTGCGTTTATCGTAATTACAGAAATAACGGATGTTATGGCGGTCATTACGGGTACCGCGGTCATGAACTTTTTTCAAATGAGTTGAATTAAAAAAACTTTTTTAAAAATTAAATAGCGGAATAACAATCCACTATTGTTGTGATTGTCCGCTATCTGTTAAATTACGACCGCAACCCGTCGTTATTGGTGTCATTCCACTACACACAATTATTTTTCGTTATAGCGGGGCTCGGATGCCACCATAACCGTGATATAGCAGCCACAATACCGCTATCCAGAAAATTTGCTCATGGAAAATGTTGTACAAAATTTTGATAGACTGAAAAAGCGTTACGAAGTTATGGCATACGAAGAAATTTCTCCGAAAGCACAATAATCATGTTGTGATCTCATTCCATCAACCATAAATGGCCGGCGCTCCAATCCACCGCAATCCCTTTGTGATACCGATTACGTAGATTCATGCTCCAAAAGCTGCAGCTTCGTTCATTTCTTACAAGTCAAGGGCTAGTCCACCGCCCATAAAATGGACATTTTAGTGACCTATAGGCCATCACCACCAACATCCACAAAGATAAGGTAGGGGTCCTTCACCGACGACGGTGGGGAATGGGAGGGATTGGGACAACGTAGGGTGGGAGGTTTTATTTTATTTTTTTTAATGTTATTTTTTTTTAAAAATAACAATTTTATTATTAGAAAAATTAAAAATTTACGGTATACACCTAAAAGTGCAACGGAGAATATTGTAGACACCTAAAAGTAATGGAGAAAACGTAGACACCTGTAGTTAGCAAAAAAAATCTTTAGATACCAAATCGTATTGTGAGATTTAATTTAGACACTAAAAAATGTATTAAGCCAAATAGTAATAACAAAGTTTAAAGAGATATAATCATTACCAAGTTTTGGGTCGGTCTAAGAAATGGTAGACTATTATAAGATTAAAAAACGGCGTGATTGAAAATTTAAAAAAAAATTAACAAAATAGGTTTGATCAGAATAATCTCGTAGTATAATTTTGAATTCATCTAATCCGTAGTAAAATTAGCTGACCCTATTTCCATATGTAATGGGGTGAGGAGAGGTAAGGTAGTAAGCTACCCCCAACGCCAGGTTGAGAGGGCAGTTTCCGTGGAAGACCTCCAGCAGTCAGAATTATGAATTGCCTACCGTGAGACTCAATCCTACGACCACAAGATTAAAAGCCTTGCGCTCTACCAACTGAGCTGAACGGACAATTCAATCCATCTAATCCGTAGTGTATGGTTTAATTAGGGTTGGAAATGAATTATTGGCATTGGCATATATACCTTATTAGCCGAGTTTGACCACCCATTTCCATTATCAATATTCATTTAAATGTCCACGTGTCACTGTCGACAGGTGAGAATGTGAATAAGAGAAGATGCAAGCAGGTGGGTTTCAAATATTGATTAAAATTTTAACCTATAATATTTCATTTATATATTAATTTATTTATTAATCCATAATATTTAAATTTAATTTTGGTGTAGTTTTATTGACTTATATTCCTTGAAAATTAGGTTTATTACCATATGTTTTTTTTTAATTAATCGTTTGAATATGACCTTTTGATCGACTAATTTAGATAGGGTACCACAGAGGCGAGGGTAATCCTTCCAACCCAGATCTTACTTAAGAGATCTAATACCTCATCCCACTAGAACAATCGATTGTTGATAACATGACGGTAGGTCTACGGAAATAATACGACCACCTACTACCTTAACCCAATGGTTAATTATTTGATTGAAAAGTTAATAATCACATCTAATCTCTGTTTTAATTTTAATGCATGTTTCTTTTTATCGAAATCATTTGTATGTTTGAAATATTTTAAAATAAAATTACAATATATTGTTTCGGACCGGATATACGGACTAACGTATGATTTTATGTTATACAAGTAACTTTCCAAAATTTAGAGGGAAAGAAGCTTATAAAATTTTAGGTTACCTTTTATCCGAGTTTATTTGATTTTATTTTTTAATCATTTTCTTGTATGGTTCTTGTGATCTTAAGTGATTGGTTTTTTCGTGTTTATAAAAACATCTTTATTTTATGTTTAGTTTACGACTGTGATTGCAAATCTTAATTGTAATTTAAATATTTTTTATTTTTAATAAAATTAATGGTTTCTATCAAAAAATTGTAAAGTATACAAATGGTCCTCCAACTATATGACACTATTTTGTTAAGTCCCTCGACTATTAAAAGTTATAAAATAGTCCCTTGACTATAGGGTGTTACTTTGTTGAGTCCCTCGACTATTAAAAGTTACAAAATAGTGACTTTACTATTCATTAGGTTCCAAATTGGTCTTTTTCATTAAAAAAAATTAACGACATTCTAAGCTGGATGTTAGTCTATTATCTGAGATATGATAGTCGTTTAAGATCCTAGGATCATATTTTATCATATCTCATACAACAAATTAACATCCAACTCAGATTACCGTCATTTTTAACGGAAAATGACGAATTTGAAACATGATGAATAGTCAGGTGACTATTTTATAACTTTTAATAGGCGAGTGACTCAACAAAGCAATACTACATAGTCGGGGACGATTTATATACTTTACCCAAAAAAATTTAATGCCACGTTAAAGATCAGTAGATCGCCAAACATATTGATTAAAATTTTGTTTTCCATCCCATAAACAAAAAAACAAAATATTATATAATTTGAATAACTTAAAAAATAAAATTGGTCATAAAAGAAATCTAGCACCGTTATTTAATAAAGAAAGAAAGTTATTTATTCGAAGTCTAGTCTCTTTTTGAGCCCGTTTATCCAAGCACAACTTAGTTCTTTAATGGGGGTTTCATGTATGGACAGCTCGGGATGTGTTATCTTGGTATGCCGGTTGTGGTGGGACGTAATAAAAATTCAGCATTTGGGTTCCTTCGCGACGAAGTAGTCTCCCGAGTGCGAGTATGGATGAAGAACACACTTTCATATGGTGGCCGCGCGGTGTATATTAAGTCAGTTGGTCAAGCTCACCCTGTATATGTCATGGGCTGCTATCTTCTGCCGGATGGGATAATTCGGGACAATAATAGTGTGCTTCGGGCCTATTGGTGGTCGGGAGACCCATCAGATAAAGGATGGCCTTTGGTTGCGTGGAGTACGGTTTGCCAGCCAAGAGTCGGTGGTTTGGGATTCCTTGATCTTCATCTGTTCAATATTGCAATGCTTGGTAAGCAAATTTGGCGTTGCATACAGAACCCTTCTAATCTTCTTGCTCGCATGTTGACAGCAAAATATTTTCCTTCCGGTAACATCCTTTCGGCAAGAATCGGGGAGAGGCCTTCTTACGGATGGCGCAGTTTATTCAAAGCTATTTGTTGCTTTCGAGAAGCATATTTCTGGAGAGTAAAGTACGTATGCATGGTGATCGTTGGGGTGGATCTAGGCCTGTTGAATGAACTTCAGCCTATGGGGATAGCTCTCTTCATCCGATTCAGAACGGTGAATTCATGGTTCCGAATCAGCCGCACTGGAACTCCACTTTAATTCAACAAGTGTTTTACACCCTCTGATGCGGAGGTTATTTTACGATGCCCGATCTCGCCGGTGCCCTCTGATCGATTGCTATGGCAAGGTCATTCCTCCGGTTATTACTCTGTTCGTTCCGGCTACAAATGGGTTTGTTGACAACATCGTCAACTGGCTCACTCATCCCGCCTATGGTTATTCTTATCTCGCCTTCCTACATTGCCGAGGGTGCGATTGTTTGGATGGAGAGCTGCTCATGAAGCTCTCCCGGTGCGTCGTCGTTTGTTTTTGGCTGGAATGTCCGATGGTATCTGTCCATTATGTGGCTTATCTGAAGAAACGGTTTTGCATGCACTTCGGGACTGCCCAGAGGTTAATCACATTTTTTCAATGGTGGGGTTGCCCTCGTTTGTTGTTTCTGGTGTGTTTGAATCATGTGGTATCTGGCTGGAATTTTTAATGGGGTTTCTGGACACTGCTTGTTTCACAAATTTGCTGGTTTTGTTATCACAGATTTGGCATCGTCGGAATGTGTTGGTTCATGAGTCTAGACTGCTGCCTAACTAGCAAGTTTCGACGACTACCCTTGCATTGCAGTCTGCATACTCCGAGGTATCTTCTACCAATATGGCTTCCGGTTCTTCTAATTCTTTCATCTCTCACTTGGAGCATTGGAGTAAACCATCTTCGTGCTTCATTAAAATAAATGTTGATGGGGCTTGTCCATCTTCCGATGCAGCAGCAGCCATTGGCATCATTGCTCGGGACTCGGATGGTTTTGTTCTTGCTGGTCAGGCCATGTGTGTTTCTTTACCCAAGGAACCATCTGTTATTGAGGCTTATGCGATATGTGCAGGATTACGATTTGCAGTGGATGCTGGCTTTTCTCGTGTTATATTGGAGGTGCAGCCTGAAAATGATGTTTCAGTGCTTCATTTCCACCTGTCCGAAGCTAGACAAATCCTTTGTTCAAATCCGGATTATAAGTTGGTTGCGGTTCGTCGGACGGCTAATATCGCCTCCCACACGCGTTATTACAACACTATTTCCGGTTAATGATTGTGTGGTTATTTTCAAAAAATAAAAATAAAGAAAGAAAGAGAAAATATGGCCGTTTTTGGGTCATCGGTGGGCCGAGGAAAGGGGCATTCGTTATATGAGGGACCGTACGCGTAAATATACCAATTTCCATCCCCTAATACCAACCTTACACTGAAACAACTTCCATATATACACACAGAAATCAAACCCTAAATTTCACAGCAACAAAAACTGAAGAGGAAGAAGAAATCAAAGCCCTTTGCTTTTCTAGGTTAAAGCCTATCCTCAATCCCTTCCGTCCCAATTAAATCCCCAAAGCGCTTCTCAAACCTTTATTCCTTTGTCGATATCTGGGATCTCTAGAGGAAGAAAAAATTCCCCTGTATTTTCCCCATTTTTGTTGGAATAAAAAAACACTGATCTTTTGGTATTTTTTGTGAATGGTGGAAACAATTTGGAACTGTAGTATTTTGATGCTCCCCCTTTGTGAATCGAGGGCGAGCACAGTCATCCCTGTTCCCGCCGCCTCTGCTTTCGCATTCGGTTCTTGCAAAGAAGGCTGGTACTACCGCTGCCTCGGCCTTGACCCATAAACGCCGATCACCAATAACCCAGATTTTGTTCTTGTTTTTTTTTGTTTTTGCTTAACATCCCATTGTTTTTGGTTGGTGAAATATTATTCATTCATCTTTTTTGGACTAGATTCTATTTTTTATTTTGGTTTATTGATAAAAAGTTGGAAAGAATGTTGCTTTATAAGCAGAAGAAGAACCAGGTTCCGAAGGGCAACCGGCTCTTGATCAGCGTCACCGTTCTTGGAAGTGCCGGGCCGATCCGTTTTGTTGTTAACGAGGAAGAGATCGTTGCTGCCGTCATTGATACCGCTTTGAAATCATATGCTCGTGAGGGTCGGCTCCCTGTTCTCGGATCCAATCTTAATGATTTCCTTCTTTATTGCCCCAGTGTTGGATCAGATGGTGAGTTCACTCAAATCCAACTCGATTTCTTGTAATCCCAAGTCAAATTTTTCACTCCAGAACACGAAATTAACGATTTTGGGGTTTGGGTATTTTTATTGCAGCACTGAGTCCATGGGAGACGATTGGCTCACAAGGGGCACGGAATTTCATGCTGTGCAAGAAGCCGATGACTGAGAAAGTGGAAAACGATGGAAAGTCAGCCGAATCCATTACTAGGAAATCACCTGGGAATTGGTGGGCATGGTTTAATAAGTCCCTCAATCTCAAGATTTCATCCCATTAAACTAAACCCCGAGTCCATCATCATTGCTGATGGCCGTATTTATGTTCTTCACCTTGTTTTTTTCTCATTTAACTGAGAAAAGACTTGCAGAAACAAATTCTACTTGTTTTCCAGTGTTTTTGTGTTGCAATAAAGAATGAACATGTACGGTGTTCTATTGATGATTATATTTGTGTTCTTCTGAATTTGCCTTTGATATTGCAATTTGCTTTCCAGGATGCTTCTCATTTGCTTGTTGGATATGGCGTTTTGCTTAGAAATATGTAGGACACCGTAGTTGGACTGAAGCATTCAAACTATGACAATTTAAGAATTTTGTTTCTACTTTATGGCCTGATCGATGTCATGAGTTTGGGATTAAGAGAACTGGTAGTAAACGTTGGGATTTGGATCTTCATAATCACTTGTTCTTACCTTTGAATCGTATGCTGAATCTGTTAGGCAAAGTATTTGATTTGTTCACCGATATTCAACAATTACATGGTGGCACGTTTGGAGTTCCTGGCATTTGGACATTTGTTGATGAAGTTGAACCACACTATCAACATGCGTCTGAGCCTAAGAACTAGATAGGGGTGTAATGATTCGTGTTCGTTTGTGTCTCTGTTGTTTGTTCTCTCCTTTTCTTTAGAGTCGTTTTCAGCAAAGCTTGTGCAGTAGCCAAGGGACCATGGCCGATCGGTTGTCTTCAAGATGCCGACTTTCAATAATATCTAGTTGTAGAATTTTTTGGTAAACGTGGAAACAAGAAGACCTTTTGAGAATCACATGAGCTTTCCAGCTAATTATGCTGACCTGGGTATTCAATATCGAATTCTCTTCTTCTTCATCAAATTTTCTTTGAATACTCATCTTTGCAGGTCAAGTATGCGAAGTAAATGATTATTAAACCTGATCATGGCCGAACTAAAACAGGGTTTGTGCTTGGTGTTAAGATCTGAACACATTCGCTCTGGCTTAACATGGGGTTCATTACTTGCACTCGAAGATGCCGAAGTCCAGAATATCATTGATCGCTAAATGAACAAAGAACTAGAGCACCCCTCGCAGGTTCACGTTACCCCAAATGTCCCATTTATGAGGATAATGCACCTAAATATAGGATTGGATATAGGATTTTATGTAGGGAAGCGAACTTCAAATTTTAAAACTCTAATCGGCGAATTTAAACCTGTAAAATTTTAAGGGTGAAAGCATTTTTCAATCGAATATACATAAAAAAATCTAAAATATAAGATATTTTCAATTTTCAGCGGATGATTGTCCTCACCCTCTCCATCCTTACCAAGAAGCTTGTCAAGCATTGGAATCATCTACAAGTACCTTGACTACAATGCGGCAGTCTTGTATTTTTTCTGAATATATATTATTTTTGGGGTAAATTATGCATTTAATATATAAATTATCAATTTTAGTTTATTTTAGTACCTAAACTTTTAATTTTATCAAAACCATATATAACATTTATTTTTTGTTTTATTTTAGTGTTCCACCATTAAAAACTTAACGCGTAAACTATCAGTTGTAATTCGTCTTAGTACCTAAACTTTAATTGATTTCAAAATTTAACGTTAAATTTTGAAAGAGACGCTAAAATGAAACAAAAACTAAAATATATGTGTGGTTTTAAAAATTATATACTAAATCAAATCAAAACTGATACTTTAAATATTAAACTCGTAATTTATCCTTATTTTTAAAATATTAGTGTTGAGGACCCACCCAACATAGAACAAGTATTATCTTTAAAATAAAGGTAAGCTTTTCTTTTGCAGTTATCATATATAAGTAACTGTGATTAATGTGTTGAGCAGCTCATGAGTAGTTCAAACTCGATTCGATTAAAATTCGGTAAAAATTTGATTTGTGTTGGCTCGACTCAAAACCTTAAAGAGTCGAGTCGAGTCGAGTAAAATTCAACTCGACTCGATAAGTTCACGAACAACTCGTTATTTTTTTTATATTTTTTAGTTCTTTTTTAAAATTATTTTATTAAAAATACTAATTTACTACTATATAATAAAAAAGATAATAAATTAATAATCTATTAATTTTCTAATAAACAATAACAAAATACTAAATTATTAATTAATATTTTACTATACCAAAAATCAAATCATTTTTATTATTTTAATGTATTTGTAGATTGTTACGTTGGAGTTTAGATTTTGAAATTGTTTCATACACTTTTTTTTATTTTTTTTGTTAAATTTATTAATTTATGCTTATTTTAAATTATATATAATATTAGTAAATTTTACTTATAGTTAAGAAAATAAGGTAAAAATTTAGGTGATCTTAATGAACGAGTCGAGCATCGAGCTTAACGAACAACAAGTCGAGCAACGAGCTTAACAAGCGACAATTTTTTTTTAACGAGTACAACGAGTACCAGTCAAACACTACCCAACTCATGATCGACTCGCTCGATAAGCACCCCTATGGACACCAACCAGTTTCTATTTAAGAGCTCACGTATATGATACAAGATAGACGGTGTTGTTCTCCCACGGTGCAGACCGAAGAGCACCTTGTAGACCTCGCCATTATCCGTTTCAAGAACAACATGCCTTGCCTCGATACTCCACGCTTCCTTCAGACCCTCGAACACACCCCAAAGCTCCGCTTCAAAGATGGAGCAAATGCCAACAGCTCTAGCAAAACCAAGCTTCCAATCCCCCATCAACCCCAATCACACCCCCACAGATTCCATAGTGTCGCCCCAAACAGCAGATCCCATCCCTTTCCATCCCTCGCAAAGTACTCGGGTTTTGTAAGATTAACAAGGATCCAAGACTGAAGATCCACGGACAAAAACTCAGCTAATCTTCCGAGCTGGATCAAACGATTCCACACCTCCAAATCAGTCGGTTTCAACATCCGAGTCACAAACACCACATCTTGAAGATGAACTCGTATGCCGTCGCACTCTCTCAAAATTGGTGATAAGTTGATCACAAGCCAGTAGCCAAAGAAAAACTTTAACCCTCGGCAACCCACGGTACTTGGCAATGGTAGTCCAAATTTTAGCAGACGAAACAGAATCTGCTTTCGTGCTAACCTCATATGCCGACTTGACAGAAAACAAACGGCTCGACCTCCATTTCCATCCCAGACCATCAACGGTTTGAGCTTTAGTAGGAGTCATTGTGCCCATCAATCTGTGAATAATTTCCTGAGGGACAACAGAATCGATTAAAGACCACTTCCACTCCCCCATGGTCATCTACCATATCCGCCCCCATAACAAAAGGTAAATTGTCCGCCACAGATCGGTTTGCTACATAATCCCTCAAGGGTCCGACATCGCCGAACCAAGGATCTCTCCAAAACTCAATTGAAGTTCCATCCCCTACTGTCCATACAAGACTGAATCGCACATCAAGTCAGACCAAACTCACTCGACAGCCGATAGCAAATCTTCTGTCTATGATATTTTTTACAGTGTTTGTAGAACTTATCACGTAGAAGTAACGAGTTTTAATAAAAAAAAATATTTTTTATTCAAACCCTCATAGATCCCAAAATAAAGGTTTTGGGGGCCTATTTTGCAAAAAAAAAAATCGGGCTACCCTATTGGGCCAAAATCCACTTTAATAAGGTTCAATGTTAGGCCCAAAGCCCATAAACTAAAGACTGTAAAAATATCAAGGACAGACTTGCAATTACATAATTTAGAAATAAAATTTATCCATAAAAAATAATCTAAGATATTTTTATAAGAAATTAAAAAATAAAATACTATCATATTCATGTTTGTGCATTTTAAGTTGACTGATAAAACGTGTTGAAAGATGATATGATAAGTCAAGGGTCAAAGAAGGGACAGCGACGAGCACTTCAAATTTCACAATATAATGGAGAACATGAATATACAATCAAGAAACCATAACATTAATGTAATGGATGGCAATTCATATACTAATTATCATTCCTCATTATTTAGTATAATCTATTTGAAAAAAAAAACACATCATAGGTCCATGTATTTTTAAAAAGAAATTAATTTAGTTCTCGGATTATTTTTCTTTCAATTTGACACCTCAACTTAGAAAATACACTCAATCTGACCCTTTGACAAATGATTTTGTCTTTGACTGTTACGGTGCTGACGTGACGATCCACTATGGTTGACAATATGACTGGTGACATGGCATATGAACAGCCACGTTAACATCGTAACAGTCAACGACGAAAAATATTAATCAAATGATCATATTGAGTTTATTTCCGAATTTAAAAAAGCATATTTAAAAAATAATTCGAGAATTACATTAGCTTTTTATTTTTCGAAATTAAGTATAACCTTAAAATTCGATTTTTATTATTACTTATTACTTATTTATTTATTTATTATTACATTCCAAAATTTGATTTTTATTATTATTTATTTACTTATATTTACCATAAAATTTTATTTATATTTATATAAAAATCTATATTACAAAATATATGTTTTCACTCTAAGGGGGTGTTTGGTTCAAGGATTGTGGGACATTCTCATGTTTGGTTGGCCGAGAATCTTATTCCCGGTAATATTTTATTACCAATAGTAGATTTTTTTGGGTATATCATTCTTCTGTCATTGAATAATAAAAATTCTACAAATGTTAAATTACAAATTTATCCTTAAATTATTTTAGATTTACAAAAAAAATCTATAATTAAAATTTTATATGAAGTTCAGGTGTTAAAAAAAATTTACCATTTCATTAAACATTTTTTATATTTTTAATTTTGTAAAAAATTTATATAAATATTATGAATTTAATTTTTTAAAGAAAATATATAAAATTTTACAATTTGTAATATTATACAAATATATAATAAAGGTAATTTGGTCAAATATACATTCTAATAATCTTTTATTCCTTTAACCAAACACGGTAATTTTACATTCCTGCAAAACCAACCAAACACAAAATACAACATTCCTAGTAATTTTATTCCTTGGTAATCTTTTATTCTCACTGATAATCTTACATTCCGTGAACCAAACGCATAATAATTTTCAACCCACTGCTCAATCATTCACTCTAAGGGGGTGTTTGGTTCAAGGATTGTGAGACATTCTCATGTTTGGTTGGCCGAGAATCTTATTCCCGGTAATGTTTTATTACCAATAGTAGATTTTTTTGGGTATATCATTCTTCTATCATTGAAT